ATACCTATACTTAAGCCTTGATTGTGCATTTACAAAAAAAATGATGAAAAGTTTATGCAAGATAGTTATGATTTATGATTGACTGATCAAATAATTGCAGCTGAACATTATTGTATAAATTGGGCAAAAATGATTAATAATCATCCTCCTGACATTATAGTATATTCTGCCCAGGAAATATCTTACGGCTTTCATAACTGTATAATTTAGTTCCAATGGACAAGTCCAAGACAATTAATAGTAAAATATGAAAAATGTCAAAACAGTGCTGGTATTTTTTTTTTTACCAAACACATTACTTTGTCAGTTTGTTGGCCTCAAAACCTGACAGACAATTATGCATCTACATTTTAATTTTTCCTAGAAGCATCTTTGAAGATTCTGGACCTGTAAGAAAATTCAGAAATCCAGCGTATGTCAAATTGAAAGCAACATTTTTTTTTCTCATAATAATCAGTCATCCACGTGAAACATAAAAGATAACAGACTATTGTATAATTGGTTAAGAGAAAAAAAAAAATCAAACTATGTTTTTCGTGTCTTTTTTTTTTTTTTTTTGGTCTTATTTAGCCATTGATTTATGCATGAACTGATGTGCCATTATTTGGCTGCAGTGTTTGACACAGCTGCAGGAATAAGTGTTTTCCTCCTTCTACCTTTTCTGAAGCACTGTCTAAAGGCATTTTCAAGAGCCGCGGTTCCCTTTAGGCTGTAATGTCATCACTCCTCTATTTGTTTCATGCTTATGTTAAAAATGATGCTGGATTTCTTCGGCACGTAGAAGAATTTTTAGGTCCAGTTTCATTTTTGCTCAACAGTTGCTTTTATGCCCAGATGCCCTGTACTCTTTCTTCTGCCGTTCTGCATGATTTCTCTTTTCTCTAAGCTTAAAGTTTTCTGTGTCCCTTCCTTGGTTGAACTACAAGGTAGGAAAAGTTACATTTTATGCTAAGTTCACCAAAAGACAGAAAAAAGGGAATAAAAATGGACCGAGATCTACTGTTGTTTAATTGTCTTTGTAAAATGCCTCAATGAGTTGTTTCAATTAAAAAATAAATTAAAAAAACTACTAGGCTTGAATAATCGGTAAATCTGAACCATTCACCCATCCATTTTCTCTTTACTCCCTTTCTCTATGCAGATTCTCAGAGGAGCTGGTACTATCTAATTGTGCACGAGGAGAGGTAAACATAGGACAAGTCACAAGTCCATCACAGGGTCACAAATGAGACAAACAGCACACAGCCTGGGCACAAACCATATGAGCATTTTTTATCATTTGCACATAAAAATGTAATGTAATTACCAATCCAACCTTATTAAAAATGCTTATATTTAAAAAAAGTTGTACAACGCTGCTATTTCACCTTTGTGTTCACAAGAATTCAAAGGTTTTAGATGGACTGTCCGTGGTGTGCCCTGCCTCTCGTACACTTACTGCTGGAGATAGACACAGCTGCCCTCATGAGCTGCAAAAGAGAAGCAAGTACAGAAAATGGATGAATGGTTGGATGGGATTTATAGTTCAATGTAAAGCACCAGAATGTGATCAATCACAAATAATAATAATAATAATTCTGCAGTTAATTCTTACTAACTTGTTTGGAAATGCTTCTGCACCCTGCCTGCACACATTTCAAACCCATGTAAAACATTTACTGTGCCCTTGTTACTGTGCAACAACAAAATTAATCAGATTTGTCTTGTTTACCAGACAGAGAGCTATTTAAATTTAAAACAGTGGATATTGTTTTAAAATTGTCTTTTTGTGGCTCTATAGTTCCTACAAATACTTTATTACTGGACATTATTTTACACAGAAAGCTCTGATATAAATGGACTGTACTTATATAGCACATTTCTATCTTATCAACATACTCCGAGCTCTTTACACTACAATCCATGCCCTCATTTAACCATTCATACAGCACTCTACTAGATCTATACAAAGCTAATCTGAATCTGTAGAGACTAATCAGAGCTTTATCACATTTGTACACCGATGGGACACACATCAGAAGCAATGATGGGGTTCAGTGTCTTGCCCAGGGACACTTCAGCATGTGACTGCTGGTGGAATCGAACCCCCAACTCTCGCATTGGAGGATGACTGATCTAACCACTCAGCCACAGCCACCCCAATGCAAAATAGTTGTACATTAGATTTGCATGTAATCCACAGCTGTTTAATTGTTTGTTGTAATAGTTCACAAAAAGAGTGCACAAATAATTAATTAATTACCACTAAATCTGTGGAATTTGGCTCAGATGTTGACTGATGGAGAAATATTCAATAAAAGCTGGCTACATAGCAAACGGTTTAGATGTACAAACTTTAATTTTTATTAGCATTACACATTGTCTACTTTTTATATCATTTATACTTTAAAACACTGAACTCTACCTTAATTACCTTTTCCTTTCACAGAGGCTGTGTCAAAAAAAGTACTACCATGATCCCTCATCCATCCTGACATGGCTCTCATAAATCTTCATCATGTTTATTTTCCATATTTCCTTGTGCAGATACTTGGTGTTGTCAGCTGATTAATGAGCTATTGTCTTCTGTCTTATTTGCTGATGAAAAATATTTTTAATGCACCAACCAGTAACATGAACTAGCAGCATTCATTGCCTATGGTTAAATGAAATTCTTCTAACTTTTTAAGTGAAAGTCAATTTAAAGTCAGTTTGCTTCAAATAAAAATTCAAAAAGTTAATTTAAGAAAATTTCAGACATTTATTATGACTTTGAAAATATGTTTTTTTTCTGATGGTGCACAAAGCAAACACCTGAGGTTGAGTCTTCAGCCACAGAACCTGTGCATCTTAAAAACAGCATATTTCTCAACATTTGTGAAACACAAGGTTGCTGGCTGACAAAGTCTTTACAAGTTGGGTATTCCTGAATTGGAAAAAGAGGGTAACGATAATGGATGGATGGATTTACTTTTCAGAGGAAAGAGCTAATGTTTTTCCTTTGCCTTAAGACAGGTACATTATCAACTGAGTGACCATTACTAAAGTTCAAGAACGTTTAGATGAGTTCTAGTCTTATTTGTTGTACACATTAGGTGTTTAAAAATTATTATGGATGTCAGTGAGGGTAAATATATCCATCCATCCATCCATCCATCATCTTATGCTTATATTGAAGTCGGATTGTGGAGGAAGCAGCTTGAGCAGGGAAGCCCAGACATCTGTTTCCACAGCCACCTCTTCCAGCTCTTCTGGGAGGATTCCAAGGCGTTCCCAGGCCAACCAAGAGACATAGTCTCTCCAGCGTGTCCTGGTCTTCCCCGGGGTCTTCTCCCAGTCAGACATGCCCGAAGCAACTCTCTAGGGAGGCGCCTAGGGAGCATCCTTACCAGATGCCCGAACCACCTCAACTGGCTCCTCTCGATGTGGAGAAGCAGCGGTTCTACTCTGAGTCTCTCCCGAATAACTGAACTTCTCACCCTATCTCTAAGGGAGAGTCGGCTACCCTGCGGAGGAAACTCATTTCAACCGCATGTATCCGCGATCTCATTTTTTTTTGTCACTACCCAGAGTTCATGACCATAGGTGAGGATAGGAACATAGGGTGAATATACTAGTAATTAATTTGTTATTGTCTAATGGGGGGAATAAGTAATTTTGTGTGCATCTATGTGTAAGACCCTGTAGCTTTGAAGAGTGTATGATGTATTAGGGCAATAAAAAAATGTATTTTTATGTGCTTCAGATGTTGCAATAATTTCCAGTCCTGAGCGCTGTATGTTGGCTGACTGTTGCGTGACTGACTCAGTGCTGTTGTCGCTTCATTTATTACTCACTACAGTGATATCTCGCTCATGCTTTTAGCATATTTAGGGAAAATATCTGACAGAATAAGCTTTTTATTTTGCGGCAACAAAAAAATACAAACCCTACATAATAAAGCATTGTTAGAAAAAGTTGTGGCACATTGTAGATTGTAATTGTCATCTACTAGTTGTGCTTTTCATCTGCAACATATCTCAACATACAGTGCTATTCTCATATGCAACACATTTTACCTTTGCTCTTCTTGTTTTTTTTTTCTTTGTTTCATTTATTAAGCTCATCTTTGGCTTCTCAAGTCTCTTGTTAGAAGTTAAATTGTTGAGCATGTATAGTAAGGCAAACACAGATCGGCATAATAAAGACACAGAGCGTTAAGGTGGAGCTCAGGTCTCAGGCAGCTGCTGCATTGGCTGTCTGCTCTGCAGTGGGGAGGAGCTGGGAGAGAGAGAGAGAGAAAGGGAGACACATGGGGGGTAGGAGGGCACTGCTCTTGTTGGAGATAGGGAATGCCCGTTAGTTGCGTCTGCCGATTATAGCACATCAGCCAGTACGCTGCTATTGGGGGAACAGAGCACAGAGAGCTGAGAGGCTGAGCGCAGAATGGCACACTAGGGAAGACAGGCACACTCGGAAAGAGAGAGAGCATGTGAAGAGAGAGCGCATCAGCACATGTAGAGAAGAGGAGGACTGAGAAGGAGCAGGGTGGTGGGAAGAGGAGAGGAAGAAGGGGAAAAGTTACTCGGTCAGCAAGAGCTCTTGGAGCAGCTGAGACTCTCTGAGGTCTCACTACCACTGGAACAGCCTGGCGCATCAATAAGACGCGCAGGAGAAGAGTGATATTACAGGAGAGAGTGCTGTAACTTCCTCCTAGAAGCATAGTCCTGTCAAAAGGCAAGGGTAATGCTTCTCACCGGACCCTCCGGCACAGCTTACTTCAGGATTATCACAGCAAGGCAGCCGCACTAAGCAGAGGGCACTTATTGCTAGAAGTGCCTGTGCATTTCAGTTCAACTCACTTCTGTGCAGGAGACTTTTCAAAGTGGATACAGTTGTAAAGCTTTGTGCCTTTTTCCTTTATTGCTTGAAAGTGTAAAGAAGTGGAGCTTCGGAGGGCAAGTTGCTCTGTCCTGTCATCTCTGAGACTATGTTAGACTGTGCGTCAAATCTCCCCTCATCAGCAGCTGCAGCCCTAGAGCATGGAGAAGTCCAGCAGTGAGGAGTCAGCCATTCACCGTAGCCCCTCCGTAGATAGCCGTGATTCCGATTTTCCCCAAGCCTCCACGTCTGGCCGCCCGTTTGGTGGCCGCGGCTTTACTGCCGGAGCTTTCTACGGCTCAACGGGGCCGCGCAAAAACGCACAGCAGGGACAAGCTGGAGCGGCAGCTGACGCCGGCACAGGAGACAAGACTAACAACAAATACAGCTCACCCAAAGGCAGCAAATACGTCGTCTTTTACCTGGATCTATCCTTTGTGTTCCTTTTAGAATTCAAGAAGTGCAACATGGCGAGAGGCTGCTTGTGCTGCTTGAAATATATGATGTTCATCTTCAATCTCATATTCTGGGTAAGTGGCTCATTATTATTATTATTTTTTTTTAATCACTGTTCTTGGTATACTTGCTCCCATTGATGCTGTTGACGTTAATGCTGTTCAGCTCCTGAAATTATGCAGTCAAAGTGAATATGACATGAGTGATTTGGTACATTTACAAATGTAAAGATTTGGTGAGTGATAAATGTTTTAAAATGTTAATTAGGCAATGTTACTTTATGACAAAATGATGGCAGTCAGGGCAATCATGCGTTTCTAATTACATCAGGGTGTTTATGCTTCTTCTGTTCTGTGCAAGTTTCTATTCTTGGATGCAATGACAGAGTCAGTGGCAATCCACCAGGTCTCCTTTTGTATTTTGCATGATGCAGGTGGGGTTCATTAAGGTCGCTCCTGATGGTTATGATTTATAGTGGACTTACAGCTGAAATGTATGTTCTGGGTTGCAAGTGATGATATATCCCTTGGGACTATTAGCACAGTGATGATCTGCAATAGTTTCAAAGAGACTAAATGTGTGTTTCATTTCATCATTCATTATTTGAATGAATTGTCATTTTCTCTTGATGAAACTGAAATCAGTGTGAGCCACAAAAGATTATAGAACCATTTTAAAACTGTAATGGATGCAACTAAAGAAACATGTTTGCTTTGTAAATATAATGTTAACAGTAATGACAGTCATAAATCTTAGCATGCAGATGCACTCACCCATAGGTTTCATTCATGGAAAAACATCAGTTCGTGATGGGCTCTGCTGCGTGTTTTCATGTATGGACATTCATTGTGATAGTGGGCATCATTTGAATGATTACAGAAAAGGATTATATGGCTTATAGGTTATGAGGGCAAGTCTTTTGTGTAAATGCAGTGAAGTGTGAAGTGTAAAAACATCCCAATACTTGAGTCTTTATCAACCCAGTCTCACAGTGTCACTGAATTGGGAGCTCTGTTGACTGGGCCACAGCTTTAGCCCAGCTGTGAGCAGGTCAACAATAAATACACACATTTATCCCTCAGCCACCAAACAAATGCAAATCTGTACAGATGCCCACCACATCTATTAAAACTGTAAGCTCCTATACTGGCATTTTCCATCAATGAAGCTCTGAACCTTTTTTTGCTTTTGAAGGATGATGTCTTCGTTTCATACTCATATTAAATCTAGTCCACAGAGACAGAGTCCGAAGTGATTGGCAAAGACATACAAATTGCTCAGAGCCTACCAGGTGTCTTTCAAATGATGTCAATATTTATTTAAGAGAATGAAAAGGTCATAAAATCTTAGTTCATGATGGATTCATTAATGCAGTTATTGATTTACCTGGGTTTTTCTACCCGTCAGTAGAATCCAAGTAAGTGGTCTGGCCTCAACATGGCTACTGCTTGAATTATAAATGGGATTGCTAGGCAGTTCAATGGGTGATCAGCAGTTGTTGATTTTATCATGCATTTTTTTCCATTCATAAAAAAGAAAATGATCAAAAAACACAAAATCAAAAATGTGTATGTAAATGAACTTGAGTAGATTAGAAATATGAAACTTTCAAAAAAGCCAATTTATATTGATCATAAAAACAGGTTGGCAACATGGCTATTATTTAGACAGTCCACTTTGGCAAACCTTGTTATTTGTGACACTGATTAAAAGATTTAGGACTTTTGTCGTAAACCTTTCTTGTATTAACAAAACAAATATCTCTTCACACATGTTTAGCCTAATGTAGTCTGTAGTTTAAAAAATGCCCAAACTAAATTTGTTCAACTTCGTGTTTCTTGCAGCATTGACTTGAACCCATATTTTTAACCTACACAACATTTGACAAAAACACAGGAACACCATCAGGTCTATATGTTATCTTGGCCTGCTCAAATGGCTTAGTGCACACAAGTCCGTTTTTAGTAGGAGTTACAAGGTCATTAATATCCACTTTTCCTTAAGAGCTAGCCACAAGAGATTTGTGGGAAGGCTTTTACATCACACGGCTCTTCCCAGGCTCAATTTGTGCTTAACCCCTTTCAGTGGTGAAACCCCACTGCTAATAATTGGCTACTGCACACCACTAATAAGAACATGGAAAAGAAGCTTTAGGTTAGAAGCTTGGCAACCTCCGATGTGCATGGTTCCTCTCTTTTTGGTCCCGATGAAAATGCTTCAGTGCTGCCTTGAAAGCATGTTGAAGCTCCACGTTTTAGTGTGTACATCAGTGCAGCTCATTTCCTGCTGTGCAATCACTGAAGTAGTATACAGGTAATATTTCAATATAAAGTACTCAGCATCCAGGTTTCCTTCTATTCCTAATGATTCATGCTGTTGTTTCACACTTAACTCTAACTCATGTTAATGACAGTTTAACTAGTGCTTCATAAGAAGAGTGGGGCAATGCGATGACTCCATCTATCAACGTGTGACAGCTTGTAACTCATTCAGGACCTTTGGAACTCCAGATTTTAGGGCAGTGCCCTACCTATTTAAAGGTTAGAGGGCTAAGAATAATAGGATGACTCATCAGTGAGGGGTCATAGGGTGCTTGAGCACTCCGGGACCAAGCAATGAGGGTGAGAGGTATGTTGTACCATTGCACTCCTGGGACTATGCTTTGCTACTCCAAAAATCACAAGGTTACCGAAGCTGGAACGAAGGTTTGACCCTTTACTTCTGTCACCTCATCTCAAGACTGCTGAAGGAATGGTGAACTGCTGCCGTAACCAGATACCAAGTACAGCAGGGGCCACTTCTATCTGACTGTGTGCACATAGACAAACACACTCACTGCGTATACACACAGATATCAGCCATCATCTAAAGTACGTTTATCACCAATTCATCATCAGCTATGTACTCCGGTTACTTAAAGCACAAGGTAAACAGTGGTGGGCACTTCAGGTATTTCTACACATATGCTCATTCTTAACCCCCACAGCAGTTGTTCGTGACCATCTGGCTCCTCTTTCTTATAAGGGATTAGAAGAGTCTGAGCCGTAGGGGGGAGTTTCGGGCAGATTAGAGCAGTATTGGGTTGTGCAGTTAAGGATTGAGAGCACAGCTCCTTAGGATAGCTCTATGCTAAAGCCAGCATCATCAAAGCAAATTCCTTTTGTGGTGTGACATGTGACAAAGAATGTGGTTTAGTTGGGAAAAGGATCAGTTGTGCTTGCCTTTTAAAACTCTTGGACGAGCCTGATAGGGCAATTGATGTTAAGTCTGTTTGGTGTCAGCCTTGAGAGCATATCAGGTCTGGTGTTCTTGCTGGGAGCAAGGATTTTCTCTTTATTTTGTAGTAAATTCTTGGCATGCACAGCATCCACTATTAAGCTCTACAGTTCAATATTCAATTGTCCTTTGCTCTAAGTATTTATTTTGTCCATTGACACTGTGCAGTTTTCAAAGCAAGAATAAAAAACGGGGGGTAAAAACAACTATTTCTCCTGCGAGTCACAAGCAACATCATACACAGGTTTGTTTTCTTTATTACAGATAGATTGTACTTTGTACAGTAGCTGATTGAGCCAACCCCAGCTGTGCTATTATCATGCTAAATCAAAAGCTAAACTCTTATTTGATATTCATATTGAAAGGCAAAGTGTCAATTTAGTAGTTTTATTCTACTAATACAAGAAAGGTAGTATTAGTGTCTAATATTTATATATTCCCATGCTTACTGAAGGGATTGCTGCAGGATTTTTTTAAACACTTTGGTTAGTGACAACAAAAGATTAGGCTCCCTGTGTATTTGATCAATAAATTTGATGTTTCAAATGTCCACATGGTTTCCTGCTACAACGAGCTACTGGCAAAACAAGGTGGTTTCCAATGTGGTTTCTAACAAGTGTGAAAGTGTGTGTTTTGTGTCATGGAACTTCATACAAATCTTTGTACTAGCTGTTCCTTTGCTTCCACCTTTGACTGGCTCACCTGGGGAATGCAGTCTAAGGTGCTGAGGTAATTTGTCTTTTTTTTTATTCGTCTCCATTTTGGCACACGAAAGCCTCAGTAATCTTTATTAGTTCAATAAACCATGTTACACTTATGAACTGTTTTTTTTTTTTTTCCCCTTTCATTTTTTGTAACAAAAAGCCCAGCTAAGCTCCATCAGTCACTGTCAGGTAAAACAAGGGATTGAGCACATAAATGAGTGTTCTCTGCATGCATGATGAAACAAGCTCTATATATGTCATATTGTTGCATATATGAAATCATTTTAATTTGTTCCAGTTCTCAAACAAGTTGGAAATGGCAGAATACATTATACGTCTTAACTGGTATGTCCAGATACATTTTTACCTTAAACTATTGCACAATTACTGAGTCGATTTGATCAACGTTATAGTACTCAGATTCCTATTGATTGGTAAACCAAACATACACAAGCTGTAGATCTTAAGAGTTGTTTATATCAGTATAAGCTCAGTTTGATCAAATGTATTGACTCTCCAAAAATTGGATCTTTAGGATTCACTGCACTCACCATATTTACATGCATTTCATTCAAGTCTTGTAATTAGTGTTCCTGGGTAAACTGCTGAGCTTTGATTCAGATTGGCTGACCTGCTTGGTAAATATCTCCATATGCCTCCTTTTGTCCAGTGGATCATTTGGGAGATTCTGCTAATTTGCATGTCTCTCTCCGGCTGCTTCGATTTCCAGGCCGTGTTGCATAGCGCTTCCGAGCTCATTAGCTCGTGCTGCAGATCAGTTGGTGAATGGAGATGCTGTGATTCACTCCTGGGGATCGAGGTAATAGAGCAGAGGAACCGAAGGTGCATTTAACACTTGAATGCAGTGGTGGTGGTTTTCAGGAGAATTAAGAGTTTCAGCCCATGTTGATGATTGTTCAAAAAGGCCTCAGTTACTGTTTTGGCTAAAGGATGGTCATGACACTTAAGGACTGAGAAATTAAATATGCATTGTTTTATTGCAGTGACTTAATAATTTATTAGAAAGGCAGTTTGGACAAAAGTGACTGAACCTTTTAATTAAAATTGCAGACACTGAAGAATAACATTTTTTA